AAATTTGAAAGAACCAAACTTATCTCAATAAAGAGTGGGATGGTGTAGTTCTAGTCTAGAGACCAGCTCCAGCTAGAATTTAGTTACTACATGTGAGGTCTCTTGAACCTCAGAGTTGTATTTCCCAACTTGGAAAACCTCAGATACTTTAAAGATAAGGAAAATAAAGAGTTGTGAACAGTGATTATTTCTCTCATTCCTTAAACTTAACGATAAGAACAGTTTAGCTCAGAACAGTCATCTTCGTTTCATCTCTTCCTGTCCATCATCATCCCTCTATAATTTCACATTTCTCTCTGTGGTATTTTTTCTGCTTTCATTCTGTGTCTCTCCTCCATTTCCCTTTCACTAGCTTTCCTTCCTGTCTTCTCTTCCTTCTGTATTTTCCTTTTTTTTTTTTTTTTGAGTCTCTAGGTTTGAAAAATATTTTTAATTTATAAAAAGTTATAGGAAGGAAGAAGTTAGTCAAGCAGCTTCACAATGCAGTGGTGTGAAGTTAAGTTTTATATGTCAACTAGCTTACACTGTAGTTCCCTGTTACTCAATGAAATGATAAGTGTTGTGAAGGCATTTCAGAGTTGATTAATGGTGAGCTTCACCCAGTCAGCTGAAGCTGAGGTTTCTGTGCAGGGGAAATTTTGCTCTTAGATGCTATATTAGCTCCTCTCCAAGGGTCTTCAGCTTACCCTTCCTGTCATTAGCCTGCCCTGCAGATTTAGGACTTGCTGAGCCCTATACCTGTGTAAGTCAAATAAGGGCAATAAAGCTCTGTGTGTGTGTGTGTGTGTGTGTGTGTGTGTGTGTGTACACAGACAGAACTTACTGGCTCTGTGCCTCTGGTAAAATCCAGAATGACACAGCAGCAGAAATAGCCAATATTTCTGTTACCAGTTTTTACAGTGGTTGGGATAGGGAAGGGCATATTTCCTTTAAGAATTCAGTAACATAGAGAAATAACTTCAGAATTTCTTAGCCACTGTTTTTGTACAAATGAGCTTTCCAGATATTCCTCAAGTTATATCACACTGGCTACCTTCTTTTTGGCCAGAATTAGTTACTGACAATATCCTCTTTAGGCTTTTTTCTGCCACTCTGTACCGTCAACATGTATTTATTCCATTTTTCACCCTTTGATAAAACCTTCAGACTCATAAATTATTCTGTCATTCTGTTTTATTCATGTTTATTTCCTAGTTCTAAGTCTTTCTCACTTATGTCACTTAATGTAGGTTTCTGTAAAGGGTAATCAATAAAATTGCATTGAAATTGCATATTCAGTGTCTTCATCCAAAGATAACACCAATGATCAAGTTCATGCAGGTGGAGTGAAGCCGCGATGTTTCCGTGCTTCTTTGGTCCCACCGCTCAGGGAGCTACCTAACTGGTCACCCATGGGAAGACGGCCTTTCAGTACCGATACCAATATGTGATCATAGATATTAAACCATGCAGGCTGCTGGTGCCCAAGCCCCAGCTGAGGATCACCAGTCTCCAAGAGTGACTGAAGACCTCAAGGGATTTCCATGATTCTTTTAGGAATTCTGCTAGGTCTTCCTTTACTAGCTGGCTACCTCTGTGAAATGTATTTTCTTTATCTACTTTAATCAACACAACATGGCTGGTGATATAGCTCAGAGGCACAGTACCTGCCTGGCAAGCACAAGGTTCTGAGTTGAATTCCTGGTACTCAGAAAGAAGGGGGAGAGAGAGACAGTGAGAGAGAGAAAGAGAGAGAGACAGAGAGAAAGAGAGAGAGAGGAGAAACAGCATAATACATCACATTATAAATGAAGAAGCGGGTATGACAATAGTGCAATATTTTATCAAATCACCAATAAGAGAGTTGAAAAGGAAAGAAATTATGCCTTTTTCTCACAAATTTTGGGGAATAATACAGTCATTTTCAAATAAAATGTTAGACTCAATGACTTACTATTGTTATTCTACATTAACTAATATTTTAAGTTATCTCTTTTTAGTTCTAAGGTGTTAATTATCATTATATGTAATCCACATACACGAGATCTCTTTGCGTTTAACAATGTTTGAAAAATTGTAAGACATAAAGCTTGTTGAAAAACCACTGCTACAGATTATTGATTATGTTCTTACTGGAACAGGCAGTAATTCTGTCCCTAGGAGTGACAGGCTGGCCCCAGGAATTAGAAACAGTTTAGAGTGGCTACAAAACCTTGAGTGAAGTCCTTTTTGCTAATGGCTCAATTCACATCAGAGGTCATCTCTGATGTTCCTTCTTTATCTTCTACTGAGCTCAGCAGGGCCTTCAGCACATGATACATACTCGACAAGTATTTATTGATCAAGATCCATTGATCTTCAATTATACAAAATGTATTAATTAAGAATCTTGTGCAGCTCAGGCAGCTTGATGTTGACCTCAGACCCAAAGCAGTTTGGGAACCCCACCTCCCAGTGCAACTGTGTGTGAGTCCAACGTTGAATAAGGTGGGTAGAGACAGGAGAAAGGTTCATTCCCCACTCAGGAATCCAGAACCTGGTCTCTCAAGCCTAGAGCCTTTCCATGGAGTCAGAAACTCCAACAGATGCAGGAGTTTCCCTTTGGTTAGAGAAACTGAGAGGCTGTGACATCTATTTTCACGGCCTAGGGTCTTAGATGAGCTGTAGATTTGCTTGGCAATAGAGAACTGAAGCCATGCTCCCTGCATACATGCTGTCTTCTAGTGTATGACTGGCCTGCAGTGTGGTTACAAATGTTGACTCAACATTCATCTCACAGTTTAGTAGCTGTGAGAACTTGAGGAAATTTCTTACACTTTGTTTGGCTCAGTTTCTATATCTGTAAAATGGAAATAATAATACTACTCCCTGAACCGTTTGTGCTGAAAATTATAGTAAAGTATGCCAAGTGCTTAACACAAATGCCTGGCACAGTAAAAGACCAGAAAAATGTTAATTACCAATGCTATTACAGATCAAATACTTTTCCTCATCAGGAAGAATAGAAGAACTAGAAAACAGATTTTCTGTTCTTATTTGGTAGTTAATATTTAATATGCTAGAGAGACCAAGTATTTGACACAGTTCTTACCGAGAATGAGAACTGAAAAAAAGGCAGATCTTTTCTTGCTTCTGTTTTATTCTCCTCAAAAGACAGAGGAAATGAGAAGGAGTAAGGGAAGAACCACTCACCTACTAAAGGAAACATGCTTCTACTTTGACCTGCTGTGTGCGTGAGTGTGTGTGTATACGTGCGTGCACATGCAAGCAGGCATTTGTGCAACAGTTCCCTTCAACACAAGGTCCTGCTTGTGCTTGGACAGGAGCCTCTCCGGTTAGCCCATAAAGGACACAGCTTTGACCCAGCAGTGTGCTTGTTTGCTGTGGGTCCTGGGCTGCTGGAAAAATCTTGGGGCAGAGGAGGTCCTCAGATCTGCAGCCAGGAAAATGTGCTCCTGAAAGCCCACGTATCTGCCCTGTGACACAGAACTTGGAAGCTCAGTAAGACTGCACTGGCTGCCTGCTTTGTTTCCCAGAAAGGGTTGTCTTCACAAGATATTCCCAGGGATGACCGTGGTTAAGTGTCAGTGTGGCCCTGTGGACAGCAGCCACCCAACTTCAAAGGCTCCCTTTTGCCCTTTTGCAGCCCCTACAAGCACTCTGCTCAGGAATTGCCTTCAGTAGAGAGGGGATAGTGACTTGGCTAGTAGCTACATTTGAGACTCAAAGAGCTGATTTTAGTCTGAGTAAAACTGCTTGGTGAGAGGGGCTTAGAGATTGCTTTCCTGTTCTGCCGCAGGACTAACCGCAGCATGGATGCAGACTGAATGGCTGGCTCTGGTAAATGTTTGTGTTAAAAACTAAAGTAAACAAGAAAACTGCACCACCTCCTCAGCGACACGAGGGTGGAGCCCCACCCCGCTACTTGCCACTAAAGGGCAAACTAATACAGGATGTTGGGTCAAAAAGATGTTAAACATGAAATCAACTAGAACAGGTGATTTTGTTATTCTTGTTTCAGAAGAGGGGGGCAAAATAACATGATTGGAAAGTAAAAAGTTCATGTAACATCCAGAAAGGAGCTGAAAAAGTACATTACTTCATTAGACAAAGGAAAGGCTAAAAAAAAAAAAAGAACAGAATTTCTGTATGAGTAAAAAGCTGTTTCCATTACTAACTAAAGCAAAAGAGGAAGAACCAAGTTTCAGTGGGAGTTAGGAATTTGTTTTAGATCATGAGAGACCTGGTTGCAATAATAATAGTGGAAAGTTGGCCAGGGGAAGTCATCTATCAAATGTCTTTAGAAGTCTGTGTATTCACAGTGGCTCGGGGCCACCTTTCAATTTTAAGAAGTGAATTTGCAAATACTGTAGTAATTTACTATCTATATAATCTTTTAACTTAAATAAATGACCTTAGACAGAAATAGGCAATAGCAGCAGTTAAAAATAACCAAGGCAAGCCGTGTATATATCAGTGACTAGTAAATGTGTCCTTACTGAACAAAACAGTGTTCCAGAAGCAAGGAACTAGGAATAAGAAAACCTGGAGTATTGTAGACATGTGTGTGCTTGTTTTAACATTCCATGTAAAAATTCTGGTTTGTACTATTTACCCGTCACCCAGAAACTTTCAGGGCTCGCTGTAATTTCTGACCCACCTTTCTTGAGAGTCACACAGCTGCATGATGAGCTTAGGGCGCCCTCTGGAGGCGGGGAGCCGATGTAGTACGGGAAGAGAAATGTGCCCTCTGCTGTGATCCCTGATTTGAGTGAAGGTTCTGACAGCTTCAAATGTAACAAACAGAAAGTCACAACTTTCACAGAATGAAAAATCAACTAACACCTACTTGCAAATCCTTTTACATTTCTTGTAAAGAATCCAGAAAGAAGTTTGGGATCTTGAAGAAACTCAGTAATGTTTATTTATTCTTCTGTCAAAAAAGATGCCGTTAACAGGAATTCTGTGCTATGGAGATTGATTGCATGTTTAATAAATAAACCTTCATTACTGACACCAAGTAAAACACTCTGGTTTATTAAGAGACTACCTCAGCCAGGAAAATCTTCATCAATCTACTGCAGCTGGGCCCGAAATGTGAAGAACGCCAACAATCACTGAATATTTCCTAGAAGTAAGGAAAAAAATTGAATGATTGAACTTTGATAACTGTCCAAGTAAAGGTTTATTCAATGGGCACGATTCTAGTCCTGATACTGTCACTGTGTTGCTCTGTGTTCTTGCGTAGCATTAGGTACCCTGATAACCTTGAAATAAATTTTCTAGGTTTTTTTCTTAAACTACTTGCAATGTTACTTCGAACCCAAAGGGTCTCAGCTAGTAAATTTTCTCCAGAAGACTGCAATCAACAGAGAGCCAATTAACACATGCACACACATTATAACGTTAATAGAAAATATGAGTAGGAAGGTCTCCGATCATTTGGAAGCCGCTGGGGGATATGATTGAAGTGAACATGAAACTTGACATGTTATTCTATAGGCACAACTCCCCGGATAGAACCAGATGTTCAATCTCAAACTCAGGTTTTTAAAAAACGTATGTAACAAATCTGGGTTTGGTTGCGAACCCACCCACTTCTGCACTGTGTGACTGCAGCTGAAAATAGGGTGAATAATGTGGGACCGGAGACTGCAGCAGATAACCCAATGAACTGAAAGAGAAAACTCATATAAGTTTAACTAAGGGTGTACCTCCTTGTTTTGAGCCTTGATACGTATATTTATATGCTGCTGCTGCTGCTGCCATTGATAATTAATGGTGAAGTACATATTTTTTATTTATTATACTGAATTTAGGAATTATAACTAAACCATATTATTCAGTTAATGTATTCTAACCCATGCCACAAATAGGTTTTATGATTCTATAAAGATTTCTCACAAGTAATATGGCATAGTAAAAAAATTAATCTCTTGGATAAGAAAGCATCTGAGTTAAATATCTGCTATAAAACTCCATAATTTAAAGAAAAAGTCAAATTTTTAATAGAAGAATCTGAGACAGGAGCAAAGGTCATTGACAGAGCACTTCCAAGTATGCTTTGCCTAATATTTTTATGTTTTTGGTGTCTTTAAATTCACATATTAACTTTCATCTAATACTCTAGGTTATAGTATCATTTAGTTAATACTCATTTTGTTAAACAGGAAAGCACTGAGAGATTTGTCAAGATCACAGAAAAACTTTTAGAATAGCAGTAGTCCATGTGATTTTTGTTTGATTTACCTATTTGTTTATCCATCTGTTCATTTATGCTTCAAATACCCATGGAGCAAGTTTGTATATTGTGCCTGTACTCTTATAAGGATAGCAAAGGCAAGTCAGTCACAACATCTCTGCTTTTTTCAGGTATCCTGCTGCTGACATCTGCAATTTAAAGGAGGAAAGGATTATTTTGGCTCACAGTTTCTGTGGGTACAGTCCACAGCTGACTGGCTCTGAGGCAGAAATGGCATGATAGAGGGGCCTGGCAAAGGAAAACTGCCAACATCATGGTGGCCTGGAAGCAGAGAGAGACTAGAGGAGCCTGGACCTAGAATACACACTGCTAAGCCATGCCCTAGCGACTGCTCCTTCCAACCAGGCCCCATCGCTGAAAGTGAGAATTTTGGGGGACACTTTATATCTAATGCATACAATTCCTGGGGGCAAGAAGCTTGAAGTTTGGTAGAATCAGTGCAACAACTACACATACAAATATAAAAAATAGCCTGAAATCCATATGGTAGAAATTCACTGTACTGGAATTTCAGAAGTTTAAGGTATGCCAGATATTATGCAGCTCAATTTCTCATACAGCACAAAATACCTTAATATCTGAAATCCTGAGACTTTTCTTAGGATTCTTGCAATATGTATGAACATGTCTTAGCTACTTTTCCTCTTTCTTGAGAAAAAAAAACAAAAAAAAAAACACCCAACACCCAAAATTAAAATAGGAAAGATTTATTTGGTTCACAGTTTGAAGAGGGTTCAGTACATAGTTGGCTGGCTCCAAGGCAGGCTGGCACATGGCAGAGGGCAACCGTTCATGGAAGCAGAAGGCGGCAAAAGTAAGAAGGCAGGTGAGAGCACATTAGCTCTCATTTTGTCCCTTATATTTGTTGCAGACTCTGCACTCTAGGGTGGGTATAGCACTCACACCCTTAATCCTAGCCAGAATTATGCCAAATCAATCAGTGGG